AAGTCAACGTCTTTCAGCTACGTCTTTTACTTTCTGCTCAGTCTCCCATTTCAGTAAGATTTAACCTCTTAAGGAAATTGTTTTAAAAGCAGTTAAAAATAATGATTAAATTATGGGATTTACATGAAAGAAATCCTTGGCCCGTTCATTTTTTTAAATCATGGCAATTTGTTTTTTAAAAGGTGTTTGAAGTCCTTGAATCTACCTCTTGGCACCATTAAAAAAAAAAAAAAGTAGTTTATAATCCCCTAATGTGCTTAAATAAAGCCTTCAGTAGTTTAAATTGTTATTAAGCATCTTTCAGGATTATAATTTTATGGCTTTTTTTGCCTGATTAGATGATGAATGTGAAGATCATCAAATACTCATCATACAACAAACCAATTACATCGTCTAATCCCCAAAATGAGGTCTGAATCCAAACATTTTAAATTCAGCTGGATTTAAGGGATGCACAGAATTCACAATGAGCGAACAAAACACTCGAGAAGACACCCCTCAAACTCCCTTCTTCCAGTTTTGAACTAAAAGGTACCACTGCTGGGAAAAAATCATAGTATGGGTTGAAGCAGAAACTAATCCTGTTGCCACAAACAAATTTACACAGATCTGGTCATAGGCAAGATTATTATTTCCCTTCTTTTTTTGGGCTATACATTACAGTGAGGCGATCTGCTTGAAAAATGGTGCTGAGATATGATCCTTCAATGTCAAAGTGTTTCAAGAAATAATTAAAAAAATAAAAAAAAAAAAGAGGAAGGCCTGCAAAACGTTGCCGTGCTGCAGCACACCCTAAAACTATCCTTAGGTCAACTTTCTGGAGCCCAGCTCCAGCATGGGACTGGTTCACCACAGTCCCTCCTCAAGACCCTGCCATGGCATTCGCTGTTCACCTGATGCCACAAACCTCCCCTCATTTTTAGCTCAACTTTTATACTTTGGAGGGATGTCCTCAGAGATTCACCAAACTATTAGCAGCCTTATTTATTTTTTTCCCCCCAATAGTAACAGGGCATTCCTTCCACATTAAATTTCAAGCAAAATCCTAAAAATAGATTTCACAAACCTCAAAATTTACAGGCTGGTGTCATAATCTACCACCAAAAATTTCAACAAGCTCCACAGCTACATTTTGCCTAACTAACGGCCAACCTGGGCAGCTCTTCCAACCCAGACATTTAATCAAAATTAAGGAGAACAGCAAATAGTTAAAACTATATCCTGCAAAGCCCTAAGTGTAAGTCTGATCACCACTTTTGCTATTGTTTTAACTGATTTTTGTTGTTGTTATTATTCTGAGGGAAAGAAAAAAAAGGGCAATTTTGATGAATTTATCCCCCAATATGTTTCAGAGCGTACTGCCTGCATCTGCAGAGGACAGTTCTTGCCTACCCTTTGGGCATACGTCAACTCAGTTCTCCACATCAGTCAAAATAATGGGGAGGCTGCAGCATGACGCTGAGTGGGAACTATTGCCCAAACACTTCTAACAACCGTCTTCAGTAAAGAAAATAAGAACATCCTCTTAAGTGGGAAAACAGAACTAGGGGACAAACCTTAGGAAATTCAGTCAGTACACAGAGGAAGATTTAATACTCTCGGAGGTGGAACAACTGCATAGAAGGAATTAAACCAGCCTATACACTTTTGAAACATTGTATTAGTCCAACATTTATTTTAAGTCTTTCCAGCCATTAATGATTAGTATGACAGACACAGCAATTGCTGTCTATTTTGTTTAATTCCATGCCACTGATGTGTATTAGTATTACTATTGCAAGGAAAAAAAAATATTTGCCTTTGAAAAGCAGGGCTGCCAACCAACACCCCAATTAGGAAGCACCAGTGGTCAAGGGGATGTTGGATTTTGCGCTTAACCACTGCTCGTTTCCTCCCTGTCATTTTCTGAATGGGAAAGCAAAGGCAGGTTAAGTGCTGGGGGCAAAAGGGAGGTATCACCCGCCCTGGCGTGTCCCCTGCCTGAACAGAACCACCTCCCTATCTCTCCTCACCACCCGCTTTAGGGAGGATCTCGTGTCCACCCTAGGGAAGACCAAATTCACCAACAATAAATAAATAAATAAATGATGTGGGATCTCTAGTTTCCTCAGCTGACCACTCCTCAGGACGACCTCTCTCCCATAGCGAGGACCCAGCTGCAGACACTGTCTTGCCCGTGTGTAGGGTTATAAGAGCAGTCAGGAGGCCAAGACACCTTCAGAAAGGAACTGGAGTCTCAGTTCGTTCAGTCTGTCCCCCTTCTACTCCTCAGCTCTGATTGTGGCCATGATTTGGGCCCGGGTTATTTTGCAGAGAAGACAGCACCCCATGCAGCTTGTCCACATGTTATACTGCTCTAGGGCTGACTGTAGTGCTGACTCTTCCCCGTGTTATCAGTGTGCTTGCCTGGAGGACATCTTCTGCCACGCACAAGACCCACTGCTACTCTGGATGCACTAGTTCTCTGATGCCTTCTCACTCCAGCGAGAGCACTTCCAGCTGAAACACATGCTTGGAAGAGCCTACAGTCTTGTCCAGGCATGTTTTAATTTGGGGAAACTCTCTGTGACTACACCTAACGTCAATTTGAAAGGCCTGTCCCAAGGTCCTAGCTGTAGAAGGTTGGATTGGGTAAACCAATTCTGCTTTACTGCACTGATTTGACAAGCCTGGAGCTACCCTGATACTGGCAGAGGAAGAGAAAGCTGCCCAGCAACAAATCTGCATGCTTCACCTGGCTGGGCTGGATCTGCACAGGGGATAGTGGATTTTTAAAGCCAGCATTAGTTTGGTGCTGCAAGGTAGATAGAATATGCAGTGAGGATATTCTTTTGTATTTGAGCCTTCCAGAAGAAGAGACCACCTTACAAGCACATGTCCAGATGGTGTCTCCTGTGGGCAGCTACCACCACTGCAGCAAGCTTCACAGGCATTCTCATCTTCTTTTCTGCATTACCACACAGCAGAAGAGTGAAAAGCCACTTACACACTACACCTAATGTGGACAAAACAGAGGACAGGGTCCATTCTCTGGTCCTGAGACTGTGCATGAAGCCAGCTGCAGGGTCAGGTCAAGCCCACGTAGCTAAATGCTCAACACATGATGGCTGCCACAAGGTCTTTCGTGAGTCATGCCTGCTATCTTCTGCTGTGCTCCTAAGAATGACTTTGGAGGGTGATAGCAGGCCCAGGCTGAGAGCATGCTGGAGACTGCTCAAGCAGTCTAACGGGATAGACCGTCATGTTCCTGTGCCCAGGCCTGGTGATGTTTAATTTACCAGCACAAACACAGCAACAGGCCACTTCCAGGAAAACATACTAACAGTATTAATAATAGTAACATATACTACTTAATATGTAATTCCTCAGCTGGGAACTATGGGGACTGACATGCGGTTTCTCAGTGTCCCCTAGTGTGCCTTGTCCAGACTGCAGAGCTTCCAGGGCACCTCCCTAGACCAGAACCTAAACCAGCTGCGACAGGCTGGTGTGAGCATTACTGCTGGCACAGCATCCCTGGACTGTTTGGAGGCAGATGTCCTTAACCTCATATCTACCTGCAGAGACACACCAGGCTGCCAGCTCTTCTTGGGCAAGGACCTACAATTGGGGAGCCACCAAAACCAAGAGGGACCTCAGCCTTTGAGAGCCATGGGCTGAACACACCAGGGACAGGTCTAAGGAGCTGGCACAGCTCAGGCACGGCTGACGTCAAGTCTACCAGAGACAGAGATTAACTTGGAGATATCCAAGGCCCTCTCTGGCCTTGGAGGAGGAGTGCTCTGGCACGAAGGTTCATTCATAGCAACCCAGGACCACGCGGGGCAGGATTCCCTGCCTGATCCCTGTGCTGACAAGAGTCATGGCAGCTATCTGGTTTCTTGGCTCAGCTGGGGACAGAGGGGCAATATGCGTTAGTGCTTCCTCCAGTTTATGAGCATAACCTTGGCGGGGCTCCCACCGGGGCTGGGCAAGCTGGCCGGCTTCTGGCTTCACCCTGACCCTAACTACAGGCAGGGGAGGAAGTCAACTGCCTTGATTAGAGGTGAGAGCTGTTCCTCACTACCACCTGCAGACTCCCAGCACCCCTCGCCTGGCCCTTCTCCTCCTGACATAGAAAAGTTCAGACAGAAAACCTGGGGCCAAAGGCCCACATCTCCACAGTGGATGAAACACAGTGACAGATCACCACAATTTGATGAAAACAAATGGCATTAAAAACACTTTTCTAAATGCTAATGTGAGAAGGCTTGGTACACAATATAAACCCTCCAAAGAAGCTACAGCATTCAGCTTAACCCCACACACCTGCCCAGAGCCTTGACTTCTAATCCTGGGAATAAAATAAATACAGGTAGCTGTGGCAACAGAAATAGCTGTGCATCTCCCCACCCCTTTATAACATTAAATACAGGGGTAACTTACACTCTGAGAATGAGAATGTCTCAAAAAAAAATTATACTTTGCTATTAAACCAGATACATTCAGACCTTTCATCATGAAGCTTCTGACAATCTCTGACAAATATCTGAATAAGGTCTTTGTTTGCTTCTCGCTTTGTTTTTAATCTCCCCAATTACTTTCCGCGGCTCTCCGGAGCACAGAACCAGGGGCCAAACGCTGCTCTCTGCTCTGCAGCAGCGATTCCCATGTCAGCTAAGGGGAGCTGCAGCTGTGCGAGTAGCAGGGCAGGACAGGTCTCCGAGGTTATTAGTATAAGCTTAGCCACACTTTGCAGTGACGTCCTGTTAACAACTGCAACTCGAACCAGAAAAAAAAAATCTAAAAACAACACACACAAAAAATCCCCAAAACCATAAAAACATACGTTCCGTGCTCTTCCCCTGGCATCTAGCAAATGAGGCAACAACAACTCTGCTCGGAAAAGTTCCCTGAGCTGCCTGTCAGCAACATCATATGTATTTTTTTCTTTCTACGACTACTACAACTATGACATTTTCCATGTTTTATTTTGCATATGTGATCTAGAGTTCACTTACTGTTAGATGCTGGAACAGCCATGCCCTCATGATATTTGTGGCTACTTTGGGAAAGATGCCACGCTTTTTATGTCGCTTTTTGTCCTTATCTGGATCATCATCATCACCTGTGCTGGGGGAAGCTACACTGTTGTCCAAGCCGTCACCTGTAAATATAGTGAATCAAATTTTGACTTATGCTACCTTTATATACTTCAGCCGAAGCCTGGCTTTGGGTATAAACTGCATGAATATTTAAATGAGGTATAAATTTTTTAACATCGTAATTCATCAGGGGTTGAAGGGATGGGGGGGAAGAGACATGGGGAGAGAGAGGGTCTCAGGACTATGGCCCCGTTTTGGTTTATCCTGAATGATAGTGCAACCACTTCTGCCACTGTAAACCAAACCAAAAAGTGTTTTTAAAATAAAATTTTTTTTGCAAGCATCCAGCTTGCAAAGGTGGAAAGGGTGGCTTTTCTTCATACTAAGTCACTTCGCAAAAATTCATCCCAGTCAGCTACTTCAGCTGAGATGGTAATTAGTAAAGTATCAATGGTGTCCCATCCCTGTGACCATCCTGCTCTGGGATGCAAAAAGCAGTGTGAATGTAGCTCTCTTGCAACATCATATTCTCTCCCCAAATTCAGAAAAAAACAGAGGATTGGGGCATCACCTATTTGAAGTCATTTACAGACGTTCGACTTCCCCTGACTTTTTGATGGGGAGTGAGTAGCTAACTGGCCTCCCCTCTTCCCAGCCCCAGCCTAAAGAAATTCATACTGGGGTAAGTAGGTACCAATTTGACATACACTGAAAGAATTAACACCCTGCTTTGTGCCGGTGTGCCACATCCGTAATGGGTGTCTGGTCCCGTTAAACAACAACTCCTCCAGAATGAATTCCCTTAATGCAGAGAAGGTCTCAGACAGTTCTCATCACATTAGCAACATATCTATGGGAGGACGTAACTGCGTAGCAGCCAACATGGGTCTGGGCTGATGGGCTACCGGTCAAAGGAAAACAACAGTTGCACTGCCCGGACTGTTTGCACGCAATTTTTGTTTCAAACTCTGAAAGCAGTTTATAAACAAATCCACAGAGCAAATCAGTGTTTACATTCTCTGCACGTGGATTGAACAGTATATCCTGGCTTCCAAGGACACTGTATTTGTAGCAACATGGAGTTGTGATGTTATTAAGCAAGTGTTTTTTACACCCCCGGGCAAGAATGATCAAGTCAGTCATCTGAATGGGGCTGAAGCAAAACTATGTCTGTTAGGAATAAAATCAAAAAATAAATAATTAAAAAAAAGGATGTAGACTGTCAAAATCATGATTTGTTACAGCTTTCAGCACCACAAAAAAAAAAGTTATTATTAGTGTTATATTTTTAGTACCTTACTGACCGTGGCAAATTTATAATTGTCCTTATGACTTGGCCTGTGTCTTTAATGAAATGGTAACCTTGAGTAGTTACAGAAACAAACAAGATTTTTATGAAGAAATCAGATATCCGACAAATTCTTTGAAAGCCCAGTATGTTAAAAAGGGCTTTTATATAGAGAAGCAATTCACCATATAAAATAATAATTCATAAAAGAAACATGAGCAAAGGAAACAACTCAACAGCATTTAAAATTCCACGGGCTAATCCACTTTCTGTCTGCGAGAGGCAAACAAGTAAAAGAAAAGTATTACGCATTCATTGATTAAAAATGAAAAGCTTCTAACCTAATGACACTGCCTTTCACCACCTCCCTGCAATGGCCCACTCACCCTCCCCCCCCACCCCATTTTTTTAAAATACTCTCCTCATTTCAGACCCCTTCAGATTAATTTAGCAGGCATCGCCTCGTGCCTGACGGGAGGACGACTCATTGATAATTTATGGAAATATCTACTATAATCCAAGGGAGATGACTTTTTTTCCAGCTTTGTGCATCAATAGATAATCAAGGCCTTCAAGCAGCCTTAGCTTCCCATTACCTCGGGCAAGAGAATTCCTGAAAGCATGCCTCCGGGGCACCTGAATTATATCCTCCATTAGGGGAGGAAAAGCTTTCTGCATTCCACCTATAACACTCCCCAGAACCTTTCCTGTTTATTTCTGCTGTATGAAAGCAGAAGCATTAGGAACAGGATTTTTTAAGTGAAGACTTATGTAGATACAATGGCGAAACCTTTCAAGCGCGAGCCAGATCACCTCCTTCAATCCCTGGCGGTGACCTATCCCAAATAAAAGGTTTCTGTTACATCATTAGCTCAAGCCAAAAACAGCCTTGGCTTAATGCACAGTTTGTTCTTCCTACTGTTTTTAGGCAAATACTGCTACTTTACTCCCATCTGGGAGGGAAATTACACTGCTGGGCTGTAATCTAAGACAAGATTTTCATTGGAAGCAAATGCTTTCAATCCAGTGTAAATACTGGTGCATGTTCAGAAAAGCCTAAAACAATAAACCCTGGCCCCATCCGACACAAGCTGGAGAAAGTGAAAGGCAGGGAGAGGATAAGAAAGCACCCAGCTATCCTAAGAGCGAATGCTTCCCTAGACTTTTATAAATTGTCTAACCTCTTCCACTCTTTTAAATGGAAAATTGATCCCGTAAAGACTGAAACCACAGAGAGAAGTCTAAATGGTCAATTGTGGATTTTAGTATTTCCATCTACTTTGCAACTCGATACACTCACCTCTGTGAGGTCTCCAGAGATTCCCCCCCCTTCTTTTTTTTTTTTCCTCTTTTTAAAGATCACTAAACAAACTTGAAGCAGCACTGACCAGCCACACGGTAGCAGCTACGAACCGCATTTGTAAAATGTCAGTGGCGACTCCGTTCCTGAAGTTGACTTCTCCTGCTGCCAAATGAAGGCGAACTGAAAAGGTGGAAATAATCATAGAAATGATGCTAGTCCATAAACAAGCTTACAGCCTCATTAGTATAGCGGGAGGCTCCGCTGGGTGATTTATGCTTGTTTTGCTGATGCCATGAGGAAATGCCATAGGGCAACTTTCGCCAGCTGCTAATGGTTTCTGACAGCTTCTTAGCAACTAGTGCAAGCAACGCTGTGGCGTTTGCTAGTGACAGAAACCGAAAATGTCATATTATCTGCCCATGTGTCACGAAGTCCGTGTGGCAATTAACTAGTAGGCCAGTAACCGAGGGGCCAGAGGCTCTCCAGAATGGCCCGTGGCTATTCGGGGGGCAGAGCAGGCGCACGGCTCGCGTTTACGTTGCACATATGCATGGCCACATGCATGCACGATCTGCATCACGCTCCCTCCGCCTCCGAGTTTGGTCCACACGGATCCTTTGTCCGTGGAGAAACTCCAGCTCGCTTTCTCTTTAGGCACGGCGTGACATTATCAGAGGAACTGCAAGTAATCTGTCTTGATATGATGGTTGGAAATGGCACTTTAATTGGCAATACCTGATTCTCTGGTTTTGAGCGCTGGATCCAAAGGTGCTAGCTGTTTTTCTGCTCGCTCGCAAATTAGTCTAAAAGGATTTAAGATCACTGAAGCAGACTCATTGCCTGTCAAATTGCTGGGAGCACAGCGACTCTGCACAGCAACTAGATGCTATTTAAAAAAAAAACCCAGAGCCTGTAAGGAGCAGGAGGAGAGCCCGGGCTCCGCGCGCCCATTCCCCAGCGAGCAAAACCAGGCGCTATATGTCAAACTGTCAAACCTTTCAGCGTGGCCGTTTGCCCTTTCAAATAATATTTGAGAATTGTTTTTACACAATTTTTTATAGGCCATGGTCTAGTGAAAGAGGCCAATCAACAAAGAAAGGAATTTGTACTACAATTCGTCCGTGGACGATTTCTTGCCAGACCTGGGCCAGTCCCCATGGAGCGAGGCAGGTGACCTGTGGCAGCTCCCTGGCTGTCGGGGAGCTCCGATTTCAAACGCCCTCGACTCCAGAGTCCTAGAGTTGCCTATTTAAGCACACCCAGGCATTTAGGCCGCGCTATCTTGTTCCTTTCAAGAAAGGATAAAGCGGCATTTATCGTATTCAGCCCCGCTGAATGGGTCAGGCCGGCCGTGCCAGCGGGGGCTCCTCTCACCACGTCCCCCTCTCTGCCGCCATCACCTCCTATGACTTCCCTTCCCCTCCCACTCCCCCCAAAACCGGAGGCAGAAGCAGCAAAGGGCAACCGGGTTTACAGCGGCTCCTCGAGTGGGTAATGCTCTCTTTGTCCTGGGTGATCTGTTCTAAACCTTTGTTGGCAAAATAGGTGCTTCTGGAGAGCAACTTGGCACATGTGCTGCAGGAGTTGAGTGGTGATTCAAAGCCTCCTCCCTCACTTCCATGCTGCGCCGAAATGAAATGTCACTGCCCTGCCATGCTGGAAAGGCAGGCAGCGTGGCATAGCTGGGCGACTTTCAGCCACTCCAGCTCCTAAATCCACCCTTAGACCTCGACCACAGAAGCTGCCCAGTTCTGACATAAATAGTCCCAATCCCAAGTCCAGGCTGTTTCAGAAAGGTCGAAAATTCAGATGTCCTGAAAGCCCCGACCCTTTTCTCAACTACAAAACCCATGCCTTTGCACATGGCTCATGAGACTAACATCCTCCAACAATTTTAAGTGATGAGAAATCTCAGTAGCAAAGTACCAAACACAGCTTTACTACAAGTATCTTCCCCAGACGCAGCAGGCTACTTCTCACCACACATAGCCCTAACCTAGGATCAAATCTGTATCTGGAGTACAAGTATTTTTTATACCAAAGAAAAACATACTGTTCCTAAAAAGCCTGCTTCCCACACCTCAGTCACGAGATCTGAGAGAGGTTTTGGGGTCGACTGTTCAATTTCCTGGGAGGGGGTAAGAGGGCACCAGCTTAGCTGAGGTCCCCCAAACCACGCAACAAATGTCACCTTCCAGCTTTTACAGTCTCCTTCTAGATAAGCATCTAAATCCACCGCTGTAAGGAGTTCGTGGAAGAAAATGTGAAAGGCATGTACCCAGAAGCCCTTGGAAAGTCTCAGGGTAACTTTTAAGTGGACTGACTAAATCAGTGTCCTCTAAAGCTCCCTATGTCAAACTTATTTTTATGTTTCCAAATCTCTCCTGTTAAAAAGCAACTTCTGCCTCTTAGAAGAACTTTACAGTTTGCACTTACTTTGGCATTTAACAAGCTAATATAATTTAAATATG